ACCAGGACACTGTTGGCTGCAGAGCTGGAATGAGAAAAGGAGAGGCCACCTGTTGCGAGCACAGGACATCCTGATACAGCGCAGCTTCAGGGGTCAGTGGGGAGGGTGCTTAGAATGAGGTGGGGCTCAGGTCTCCCCATCCAGGTGTCAGGGCTCTATTTCCCAGAGCCAAAGAAAAGGCCCACCTGGTGTTCACGTGGACCAGGCCAGAGGGTGGGAGAGCCTGGGAACAGAAATTAGAGTGACCCCTCCTCTCTGAAGAGTTCAAGGCACTTACAGGTGAGAGCCAGAATCACATAACTGTGCATTTGGGGAAGTTGAGGGAAAGGAGGTTGGGGTGCAAAATGGGACCTGATGAGCCTGATCCCATCTCTGCCCATCTCAGACAGATGGACTTGTCCTAGAAGCCAATGGCAGCTTGGAGACTGGCCCCTCACCCAGTGGTTCCAGGGGCTGCCAGGAGGTAGAGACATGGTGTGAAGGAAGAAAGTGTCCTAGTCAGGGACCCGGAGACCCCCATCTCTGCTCAGCCCCACCAGGAACAAGGGCCCCGATCCAGGACCTGGGGCTTCCCCATGAGTTTGAGGTATTGGGTTCAGAGGATCTTGTGTGCCCAGCTCTGCCTGTCCTGCACCCTTGAGGGGCAATTGCCTGGCCCAGCCTCCAGCCTCCAGCCTCCTGGCTTCCAGGGGCCCCTGAATAATTCAGGAGCCAGGAGAGCGGTGGAGGCCTGACTGGGCATAGGGCACTTGATACCAGCTCCCAGGGGAAAGCAATGAATTATTGACAGGATTCTGATGCCCAGTTGCCGCTCTATTGTGGTCATTCTGTGGGCCCATCAGCTGCCTCCTCCTGTCTGGCTAATTACCTGGGAATCCTAGCCCTGCTCAGCAGGCCTGGCCACTCCGTGTAGTCCAGCCAGCCTTGTGTGAAGAGGGCCCTCTTTACGACGGGTGATCTGGATGGGCCAAGTAAGGGAAGTTGTCAGAGGACATGGGGTTAGCTCTCAGCACCTTCACCTAACAGCCTGGGGTAAAATGAGGCCCAGAGAGGGACCTTGTCCAAGATCACACAGCAGGTTCAGGGCAGAGCCAGGTCTTCAACCCAGACTGCCTGACCCCCAGGCCAGTGCTCCCTCCTGCAGAACAAGCAGCCTCATACTTCCATTTCTGGGGAAATGACCCAGATGTCCAAGTGGCGGATGAGCCCACCCTTCCTCAATTGCCCCAGGCCCCACCCTCCCAGGCAGCTCCTCCATGCTGACCCACCCAAAGGAGTGAGACCCCACAGTGATTGCAGCCAGGCTATGCAAAGAGCAGCTGGAGTGGGCAGGGTCGCCTCTGGGGTTGCCACAAGGGCCAGGGGACTTCTTCTGCCTTTTCCTGTCCAGACTCCTTCCCCAGAGAATGTCTATAGAGGAGGGGCTGAGGTGCAGAATTCAGGTTAGAAGCATCACTGGGTCTTTGTTTTGAAGCTGTACTTTCACAGCAAGCACGCTGTTTTTGCTTAGATGCTATGTTACACACCTGTAAAAAGAGCAAAGTTTTTAAAAACGCTCTTCTTTATACTTTACAAAACACTGAGATAATTTCAATTATTCGTTTCAAAGAATATCATTTTTTACTTTTATGTGAGTGAGGTTGGGGAGAACTGTTAGGAGTTAAGGCACCCAAGCCACCCTCTGGAGGTGTGTTAAGTTGATTCCTTTGGCCATGGCAAGCTCCCAGCATCCCAGCCCCACCCTCGAGGACAGACAGGCCCCAGGTCCATGAAGCTGTGCAGAGCTAGGGAGTTGGGGGCAGCTTGGATCTGTCCACAGAGCCCATCCTGCAAAGGAGACCAGCGAAACATGGGCCATCCAGATGGCAAGCCCTGTGCACCATCAGGGAGGGAGGAAGGGCTGACGCCTGACTGCCGTGTGAGAAGAGTTTCACACGGGACTTCTCACCACTGCCCAGGGAAGCAGCTAGTATCACCTTTGAGAGACAGAAAAATAACAAGGCTCAGAAGGGTTAGAGAACTAGCCAGAATCAAACAGTTGCCAGGTTATGGAATTCCCCTTAGACCCTGCTGGGTGAATCCACATCTGTCTGGCTCCAGAGCCCAGGCTCTCTCAATTGTCTACACTGCCTCCCTTTAGGAGTGGCCTTTAATCTGGGTGTAGACAGGGCTTGGGCCAGAGTGCGAGAAGCTGGGCATTTGCCAGGAGGCCGACCTCAGCTCACTATGTGATTAAAGCGGTGGCAGAATGGACTCGCAGTGAGAGCCGCTATGGATAGTGAGATCCCCTGTGGAGTGTGAGATCACTATCCCTGTCACTGAGTGTCTAGCAGAGGCCTGGATGCATGTGTCAGAGAGGTTATATCAGGGACTCCCTGGAAAGAGAGCTGGACAGCTCTCCCCTCAGGCCCCTCCCAAGTCTGAGAGTCTGAGACTCTCAGGCAAGTTAAGCCTGGAAGGCACTTGAGGCTTCTCTGGGCAGTGCAGGGGAATAGCTCCATCCTGCCCCCTGGGGGTGTCTTGTCACATTGCAGCATTTCTGCTGATCCTGGGGACTTTCTTTTACTGTTCTTGGGCACCTACGTATGGGGAGAAGTGTGCCTAGCACTCAGCAGGCGCTCAACAGGTCCTGGCGGAATCACATTGGCCTGAAGAGCCAGTTGGCAAAGGGCACTAGCAGAGCAGAGATTCTCAAGGGTGTCCTCCAGCTGGCATCAGCAGCATCTCCTGGAAACTTGTCAGAAATACACATTTTCAGGCCCCATCCCTTCTACTCGGTCAGACCACTGGGTGGCCAGTGATGTGAACTGAACTTAGTGGACCTCACATTAGAAGCCTGAAACTGAGGCCCGGCCCATGGCTCACTTGGGAGAGCATGGTGCTGACAACACCAAGTCAAACGTTAAGATCCCCTTACCAGTCATCTTTTAAAAAAAATAAAAAGAAGCCTGAAACTGGCAGTGGTGGGAGTATTTACACCACAGAAATCAGCAAATGTTGCAAATCAGCACTGCCCTCCCCTTCCCCACCAGCTGTTAAACCTTCGCCAGCACGTGGGGGTGTTGTGGGTCCCAGTCGTTTGTGCTTTAACAAGCCCTCCAGGTGATTCTGTTCATGGTGACATTGAGAACCACTGATGTAGAACCAGAAGAGGTGAGGTTGCAAAAGGGCCAGCATGTTCTTTCGTGCTGGTAGTCTGTGGTTAGAATGTCTGTGCAGTGAGCAAGCTCAGAGCCCACCCCCTCATTTTATAAAGACGACACGGACACCCAGGGGCAGCGGCTCCGGGCCTGCTGGCCCCCAGCCTAGCACCTCTCCTCTCTGTGGCACTGCCCGAGCTGAAGAGAGGCCAGGATGCAGCCGGGCGAGGAGGAGGCTTCCAGAGGTTGGTCTGAGAAGGGCCTAGAAGCCTAGTTGGGCTGAAGAGCCGAGTGCCTGCCGTGAACAGCTCGGCCCCGGGCAGTGCAGCCGTGGGCAGATGGGGCTCTGAGCCCCAGGGCAGCGCTTCCCATCCACCCACCACGGCTGCCCCCGCTGCTCCCTCACATGGACAAGAGGAGTTTTTAAAAAAATCAGTGTTCACCCTCCACAGCCCTCAGCATGGCATAGACATCAAACATGTCTAAGTCGGAATTCATCTGGTACCTCACCTCACCCAGATTTGCCCTCAGTTAGCTGTGTCACTCCCTCTTTCTTAGCCTCCACTTCCTCCTGTAAATCGAGGCAGCACCAGGTGAACCCCAAGGTCCCGTCCAGCTCTGTGCAGGCTCCCCCGGGAGCCTTCAACTGGAAATGGTGTGTACATTTTAATCTACCCCCTGTGGAAGCACCGTGCAGCATATCTCTGGGAGTACCCTGTTCTCTCTCGGAACAACAGCTGCTGACCATAGAGTGAACTGGGGCTCACGTCAGCTCCAGCAGCAGTCATCGGGCACCCACTGCTGATCATTAATCCAGCCTGCAGATATTGAGATCACTAGTGTGTCGGGCATATCAAATAGAAGCTGGAAATAGAACACCACCCCCCGGCCCTTGAGAGGCTCACCATATAGGGACACCAATGAATAGCGATGGGACTGCTTTTGGAGTGTTGCCATGTGCCTGGGACTCTGGTAAGAACTTTAACAAAGTACCTCATTTAGCCTTCAGACGACAACTCTATGAAGTAGGGGTTATAAGCTCATCTTCTGAGAAAACTGAAGCTGGGAGAGCTTAAATAAATTGCCCAGGAAGCAGGTAACTCACTAGTAAGTGTCAGAGCTGGGTTTCAAACTCCTGACTCCAAAACTGTGCTCTTAACCATAACACCACGCAGTCTCTCCCCTGCTAGGCAGCTGGGAATATGTGCGTTTTGCCATTCCATGCATCCTGGCCCTCAAGGAGCTTACAGGTTGCAAGTGTGGACATCATTACTGACTAAACAGGATGAATGAGCTAGTGGTGTTAGGGAGGGATAGAGGCCTTGGTCATGGTTAGAGAGGTGGAAAGGGGAGGAGGTACTCGTGTATCCAGGAGTCTCAGTCCTTCCCCGACAGCCTCCACACTGGGCATCTGGAAGCTGCTCTGCAAGGCTCAGCTGAAGCCTGATTCCACATACCCTGACTCCCAGTTTGTGGACATCCCTCCAGGGTACTCATGGCCCCTTGGAGTTCTCCCAGGCAAATGGATCTCACACCTACATCCACATACAGTTGCAGGAGGCCATGTACCCTCATGGACATGCTGTCTGGCCAGGACCAGCCCTGGCTCCTGGGCCACCCTCTCCAACCCCAGCCGGAAGCCTGAGCTAGCCCACATGTCTGCTACCCCACCAGTCACAGCCTCCTGGGATGTCGGCCCCGGTCCTCGCTCTGGTTTTACTCTCGCACGAAACTGCCATGCCCCTCTGCTTTTCACAGGCTCATTGGGACCTTCCGCATGGTGCTGCAGAAGGTGGCAGAGGACAACCATGTGGAGGTGACCGACACGCTGATGGATGACAACAATGCTATCATCAAGGTGGGTGTGCCCCAGAGAGACCCTAAACTTTCCCATTGTGGGGGTCACCTGGGGGCCTGCTTCACCTCCCTCTCCCCACACTAGGGTGGTCTGGGGAGCTCTCCTCATGTGTGAGTCAGGAGGAGGAGACCCGGGTCAGACTGCCAGAGCCACTCAGTCTGACAGCTGTGGCTGGAGTGCCTGTGCATGGCAGGGTCTGCTGTCCCACAGTGGACAGCCCAGCCCTTCCTACAGTGACAGTGCCCTCCCTTCTCCACCAATGGGCCCTTCCATTTGGACCCAGCTCAGGAATCACTAAGGAGATTTCTACCATCACCCGAAGGCCAGCATGAGCCCTGCTGGCCGCCCCAGGGTATGATCTTCACACTGCACATCTGACTGGCTCCTGTCTAAGACTAGGCATGCTGTGAGGTCAGGGATCTCTTTTTCTACTCCATCTGCCACATCCCAGCACTTCACAAGAGCACACGCACACACTAATGATGCACAGTTCATACGCACTTAACAGGTGTCCTAACAAAGGAAGAAGGGAAGTGATCCGGATGCCCAGACCCCAGCCAGGCTCTGCTGTGAGTCATCAGTCCCCTGCAGTTCACTCGTGGCCACCTGTGGGCAGTTTGGCATGGTGGTGAGGAACACGGCCCCTGGGTATGAATCTTGGTTAGGCCACTCACTAACCATGAGAGGAGGGCAAGCTACATCTCATCTGCAAAGTGAGCAAAATTACAGTATCAACCTCACAGGATGGTTCTGTGGGTTAAGTGAGAACACACAGAAAGTGCTTAGAACAGTTAAGCACATAGTAAGTGCTCAATAAATATATACAATAACATTGTTAGCTATTATTTCCTGACCTCCATTCACCCATGTGTAAAATGGGGCTGTACCATAGTCCCCCCACCAGGGTCCTGCGTAATATATGGCCCTGTGGGAGCCAGCAGAAATAGCCTCAGAAGGCAGGACTGAAGCCAAGAGGAGCCAGAAGAAAGAGACCTTCTTTGAGTGCCCACAGCAGGGCAGAAACTCCCGCTGTGTCTTGGCATCTCAAGACACTTCCTGGCTGAGAACTAGGAGAGTGTTTGGGGCTTCTCAGCGTGGCCCCAGCTAGGTCATTCCTCCCCAGGGCAGGAAGGGTGGGTGTGGGGTGAATAGGAAAAAATGCTCACTCAGTGCCTTCAAAGGTTGTCCAGGCATGGGCTCTTCTCCTGGCAGCTCGATTCATCATATTTCCAATGAGCCGATCTCAGGCAGACCACCCTCATGTCAGCGGGCAGCGTGGTTCTGAGGACAAGGAGGTGACCTATCCTGGGAACACTGAATGATACTATTGATTATGTAACAGTCGATTCATCATATTTCCAATGAGCCGATCTCAGGCAGACCACCCTCATGTCAGCGGGCAGCCTGGTTCTGAGGACAAGGAGGTGACCTATCCTGGGAACACTGAATGATACTGTTGATTATGTAACAGTGGACTCGGAGAGCCCATCCCTGTCCCAGGCTCAGCTGTCCAGCACATCCCCAACCACCCCACCCCCCCGCCCCAGCCCCAGGCACCAGGGAGTAGCAGCAACTGCAGAAGGATCTGGAGCCAGATCCCAAAAAGTTGACTGGGTCTGCGCTTGTCAGTCTTTCTGCGCCTCTGTTTTCTCATTTGCAAAATGGGTAGTGGGGGGCATAGTACCCGCTGTGCCTTCCTCCACTGAATTGAGGGTGTGAGCGCTCTTCCTAAACATCACAAAGCTGCAGAGTGTATGGGATTATGACTGTCATTGCCGTCTCAGACACTTACCACCGCCTCTCTCCCTTCAGACCAGCCTGTGTGTGGAGATCCAGTATCAGGCCCCAGATGGCATGGTGGGCTCCTGGGACGATGGGGACTTCTTGGGGGATGAGTCTCTTCAAGAGGAAGAGAAGGACAGCCAGGAGACAGATGGACTGCTCCCCAGTTCCCGCCCCATTTCCCGGCCACCAGGCGAGAAGAGCTTCCGGAGGTAACAGGCTGGGCCCCTCTGCTGCCCACTGCTCCCAAAGACACAAGAAGGATGTCTGGGGCCTGGTCCCCCTGGCAGGCCTCTCTGGGCCTCGCTGGGCTCAGAGTACAGGGCTGAGTTGCTGGAGAGACATCCAGGAGGTGGGAAGATGTTTCTGCAGCAACCCCCACCTGGTCCCCCATTCCAGAGCTCACTGGGAAGGCAGCAGGGGGCCCAGATCAGGTCAAGGGGCCAGGCCTCGCCCCACCCCCAAGGGAGGCAAAGGTCTGAGAGGTTGAGCTCTGACATAAGAGAAGGGGCTAGACCTTCTCAGAAAAGAGAGGAAGGGGCAGATAGAGGCCCTGGCCTCTCTGATCCAAGACCGGCCCAGGCAGCCCAGTGAAGAGACCCCAGAGAGGGAGGCCTCCTCCTGCCAGAGTGAAGCTGGAGGTCCTGGTTGGGACCCAGACTTTCTGTTGTTGGGAAGAATGCATCCAGGCCCCTTCGGTGTCCAGGGTCCACGCCCTGCAGGTGTCCTGACATGCACAGACCACCTGTATTACTCCTAGAGCCCAGAGAAGCAGAATCTAGGCTAGGCTAGTAACACATTGTCTGCAGGTTCCCAGGTCACTGGGAACAGTGTGTAAAATGCCGGCAAGTCAGTGGTGCAGCCACAGGATGGGGTGTGTTTTGAGAGAGGGGATCCTCCATGCTGTTGGGAACATCTCCCTCTCATCTCCTTCCACCCTTTCCTTTCCAAGTGAAGTTTATTCAGTGCCTGTGCTGGAAAACACACAGGTTCTAAATTAGTGTAATTGAACCCCTTTTATTGGACAAATATATTTTCCTTCCTTGCACTTGAACCACTTCACTCTCCCTACCCCCCCTGCCGCCACCACCACTGCACATGTGCTTATGACACCCTGGGAGCTTGTGCTGGAAAACACACAGGTTCTAAATTAGTGTAATTGAACCCCTTTTATTGGACAAATATGTTTTCCTTCCTTGCACTTGAACCACTTCACTCTCCCTACCCCCCCTGCCGCCACCACCACTGCACATGTGCTTATGACACCCTGGGAGCTGGGTACGGAGAGCAGTAGTACCACTGTCCGTCAAAGTGACCATGCCTATGGCAAGTGTGGCTGGGCTGTCCATCTCAGGCCAGCCATGGGGAGGGGGTGGCCCCTGCCCAGGCCAGCTTGGAGCCTGCCCACCTTGGACTCCAGGCTTTTTAGCAGAGGACCCCCCCCCCTCCGAGTACCAGCTCTGCCTCTTACTAGCCATGGGATCCTTGACAAGCAAGTCAAGCAACCTCTTTGACCCTCTCCCCTCACCTGTAAAATGGGGACCATAACAATGAAAACCCCCTGCCCTGTCATCAGGAGAGCCAAGGGGATCATGGAGGGACAGGTGATAGCTGAGTGCCGAGTACTGCCCATGGAGGGGCTGGTGACAGACAGGTTCCTCATAGTGGGACAATGCTAAGGCTCCGAGTCAGACTGGAAGTGGTAAGAGCAGGAGCAGAGACTGATGGGGAGTGAGGGGAGGCTGACACAATGGGCGCCACCTGTCCCCAGCCTCTGCCTCCCCTGAGGAAAGCACTTGGCCGGTGCTGCTTCAGAGACTGTGGGCCTTACTGAGGGACTTCTGAGAACACAATCAATTGGAAGCCACCTGAGGGCCATCGGTTGTAGGGAAAGGAGCACTGGCCCTAAATCAGGAAACTAAGTTCCATTTAAGTCCCATCCTCACTATACCACTCACTAGCTGAGTGGCTCTGGGCATGTCACTAACCCCTGTGGGTCAGTAAGAGGAATGGGCTCAGCAGGTTGACATCCTGAGGGAGGCAGGGATGCTCTGGATCCTGCAGGTAGTGTCCGCGGGAGACAACTCCCCTGGGAGCACTTGGCAGCCCAGAGGGCTGTGGCTCAGGCATGCCGAGCGGGGTCCTCTCAGTCCTATAAGACTGGGCCAGGATGTTGGCAGGGCAGTTGTGAGAAGACATGGCCTAGAAAAGCCAGAGGAGGAGCTTAGGTCCCCAGACCTCCAGAATGTCCCAGGCACCAGGAATATGGAGCCAGGAGGACTCCTCCCAGCCCTCCTCACAGCACTGCCGGCTTCCCCTCCTCACCCCCACCCTCACGTGCAGCACCCAGGGCAGGAGGAGGGTCTCCTCCGGGGACAGGGAATGGGTGAGGGTGACAGCCACAGCCAGAGCCCCTTGTCCCCAGGCGCCCTCCCTTTGTGGAGGGCCGTGTGAGGGGGCACACTGTCCCCAGCTGCCGCATGGATGCCAGTCCAGGCCTAGAGCACCTTAGAGTGAGTGTGGCAGCCACACCTTCTCCTGCCAGCCCCGCCATGCAGCCAGCAGGCCTAGGAGGCGGGAACAGCAGCTAAAAAAACTCGGGATGGACCATTTGCTGGTGAGGAGAAGGTGGAGCCAGTGTAGAGAACTGGGGGTCTTCCTAGGGCTTAATTCTGGCCGCCCAGAAGAGGCTGTGAGTTCTGGGGCAAGGAGTGCAGAGGTTCCACGGGGAGCCCGGAAGCTGGATTCACATCTCACCCTCATCCCGTAAGTGCCTGCTAAGCCAGGCTGTCAGTTCTGGGGCTTGGGAGGAAGCAGAGAGCCCCCCAGAAGGGACTCGGCCAACTCTTCTCAGGAAGACGCCTGTTTCCTGAATGTGACAAGGGGGTAGGGAGGAGAAGGGGTGTCTGTGCCTAACCTCTGACCCCAAGTCAGTGCCCCAAGTCCCGGCCTCCCTCGCATTTGTCTGCCTTCTCCTCCTGGGAAGGCCAGTCCCTTTGTAGATCAAGGTGTTCAGTGTACACGCTGTCCCTCTTGTCAGCCCCTAACAAGCAGCAGAAACCTGTTGCTGGAAGCAGACGCGTCTCACCCAGTCATCTTGACCCACAGGGTCTGGCGTGGGAATCCAGTCCTCCCTGTCCAGTGGGGTGAAATGGAGTGTCTGCTGAGGAGTGGGGAGTGCCAGGTGGAGTGTGAGGACAGGAAACAGCCTCAGGAGAGGCCGGCCCTGAGCAGGCCTGGCCGGGACTCTTCCATGGACGGCAGGGAGGCTACGGCAGAGCAGTCCTCTGGGCACCGCATCTCTCTCCCTCCAGGCCCTGGATCCGCTAACCCTGCCCTGCCTGCCCTCACTCCGGGAGTCAGGTCACTCCCAGATGGGGTGGTGCAGACCTCAAGCCTTAGCTCCAGGAAGGGGCCTCTGCGGACGCTCATCTATTAAGGCTACTCACTCCCGAGACCCTAAGAACCTGCCCAAAGTCCCCCCATTCCTCTTGAGGGGAAGTGTGCACTGGCAGCTCTGCCTGAGCAGAACCCCCACCCCACTCCCACCACCACCTATGAACCCTTGGCTCCCACAGTTCCATCTCTCCCAGGCCCTGGTCAATCGGATGACCCCTGAGCCACCCTATCCACTTCTCTAGTCCCTGCCCCCCAAACAGGGTCCCCTGATTTCTGCCAGTTGTCTGCACAATACCCCCAGAAAAGTGCCAGGAGGCAGTGTGGTGCCATGAAGAGCAAAGGCTCAAATCCCAGCCCTGCTGCTTGGAGCCCCACCTCCCCATCTGTGAGACAGGCTCACGGAGCCCACAGGAGTGTCAGGATTAGATAAGGCAATGCATGTGTCCCCACCATGGTGCCTGGCACGTGGCAGGTGCTCAACCAGTGTTCCTTTTCTTCCTCTTCACAGACTCCATGTTACCCCAACCCCAACTTATTCTACCCTGAGCAACTTATTCTACCCTGACCTTTTGGTCCAGGCACTGTCATCAAGCTCCTTCTCAGCTCTGGTGCCCCACCCTATACAAAGGACTCTGAGAATATTGTCCACACAGGCATCTCACAGCTGCCCTGGGGCAGGGGCAGGGGCACAGATCTCATTGACTCATGGTATTCCCCTCACCTGCCCAGGCTGTCAGTGCTGCAGAGAAGGAATGAATTACTAACCTCCCAGCAGCATAAAATCAAGGTTCCAGCCCTTGCATGTCAGCATACATCTGCCCCAGCTCTGAAGAGAGAGGAGACTTCGGTCCTAAACACAGACATGCACACAGGTGCCCATGTCTGCATGCACTGGCACTCACATTCTCTGTGTGACCCCAGGGGGTTGCCCACACCTCTGGATTCTGAGCCCTGCCTGCTGACGCAGCCTCTAGGAACCACATCTTAGAAAGTACAAAGGAAGGAACCTCAGCTTTAATCTTGCTGCTGAACCATAGTGACTTGGGCCTTTCCTCCAGATCTTATGTATTCTGCAACTGTCTCCCCTTCTCATTTTCTCCACCTGGCCTGGCCCTCCTGCCCTCCGTGGCTCCCACCTCCTTCTGCTGCCCACCCCCACCCCCTGCAACCCTGGGAACATAGAGGTTCCTGCTGGGCTGCTCTCTGCTGGGTCTCATCTGGAGCAGGGGTAGAGACAGGGGCTGCTTTTCTTGTTCTCCTTATCGATCATTCTCCCACTCCAGGTGTGACCTGTGGAAGCCAGGTACCTCCCTCCCGTGCCCTGGGCCAGAGGGCAACTGGGCCCGTGTGCATGGCAGGGGCTCAGAGAGAGAGATGCATGGGTGTGTGCCGAGGAGTGTGCTTAGGCATGATGTGTGTTCCATGCACCAGCCTTACCCTCAGAGTGTTTTTTAATCAGTTCTCACAGTTCCCAAAGAGCTAGAAAATCCTTCCCCGCCTCCCTTCACCAGGCTGAGCTCCGGAGTTGCTGCACCTCCCAAAGCAACTGGGAGGTGCCAGAGTCAGCCCACCATGCTGAGATTTGGGGGTGAAGGGGTGTTCAGGAGACTCCTTTCCAACCTAGCTATGTTGTCTAAAGTTGGGGCCACCCTCCCCCAGCTCAGGGCTGAGTACCTGGGTAGGTCCTGGCTGGCGCTGTGAAGCACTTGGGCCCCAGCAAGCCCCAGAGCTCCCCAGCCAGCTCTGTGTTGATCCTCATGCCCTGTAGCCACTTTTAAAAGTGACCAGGAGTGAGGGGGTTGGGAGCCTTAGG